TTTTTCTGTTCTATAGAAGGGGGAAGAAAACTAAAAAGTGAGGCCCAGTTCTTATTCTTCTTATGTGTCCATCATAGCAACTGGAACTGTGCTGGGCACAGAGTAGATGCTAAGTAAACATCACTTTGTCTTTTTTATTTTTTTAATTTTCAAGGTAGTTTTAATTAATTATTTACTTAATTTTTTATCCTCACCCAAGGACATTCCTTCCTCTTTTTTTTTTTTTTTTTGAAGTTATACTTTGGTTTATTTCTTCCCATCCCCCAAACCCCCTTCCCTTTGAGGTTTGTCAGTCTAGCAACCAATTTGTACTTCTTAATCCCTTCACCTTTTCACCCATTTCCCCCTCCCTCCTCCCATCTGGCAACCAACAAAATGTTCTCTGTATCTATGAGAATGTTTCTGTTCTGCTTGTTCATTTTGTTTGTAGATTCAATTGTTGATAGCTATGTATTCATTGCCATTTTGTTTGTTCATATATTTTCTTTTTCTTCAAGAAGACCCTTTAACATTTCATATAATAATGGTTTGGGGGTGATGAACTCCTTTAGCTTTACCTTGTCTGGGAAACTCTTTATATGGCCATCGATTCTAAATGACAGCTTTGCAGGATAGAGTAATCATGGTTGTAGGTTCTTGCTTTTCACATTCCTTCCATTTTTTGTTCAGATAGAGTGGGAAGGAGAGAGAGAGAGAGAAACATCAACGTGAAAGGGACACATCAAGTGGTTGCCACCCACACGACCCAACCAGGGCCAGGGACAAACTTCAACTGAGGTTATGTGCCCTTAGCGGGAACCAAACCCGGGTCTCTCTGGACCGCAGGCCAATGCTCTAACCGCTGAGCCAAACCAGCCAGGGCACATCACTTTCTCTTTAACCACATTTTGTAAATGGACAGAAATTTAGAATTCCCCAAATTTTAAAATAATTTTTAAAAAATTAATAATGATGAATATGTTTCTAAGTATAAAACACACACCAATTGCAGAATATTTAACAAATACTGAAAAGTAAAAGGACACAAATAAAAATAATACATTTGCCCTGGCCAGTTTGGCTCAACAGTTACAGCATCAGCTGGCAGACTGAGGGGTCCCAGGTTCGATTCCTGATGAAGGGCACCTACCTGTGTTGCAGGTTCTATCCCTGGCCGTGGTGGGGTCATGCAGGAGGCAACCAATCGATATGTCTCTCTCACACTGATGTTTCTCTCTCTCTCTCTCTCCCTCCCTCCCTCCCACTCTATTTAAAAACCAATGTGAAGCCCAGTCAGTGTGGCTCACTGGTTGTCCCATGCACCAAGAAGTTGCCAGTTCTATTCCCGGTCAGGGCACATGCCCAGGTTGTGGACCCAATCCCCAGTGGGGGCATGCAGGAGGCGGCTAACTGATGTTCTCTCTCATCAGTGTTTCTATCTCTCTCTCCCCCTCTCTCTTCTTCTCTCTCTAAAATCAATAAAAAAAAAATATTTTTTAAAAAGCCAATGTGAAGATTAACAAAAATAATATTAATAATATTATATAATCCTACCATTTAATGTTAATATTTTGGCCTCATTTCTCTTAGATGTGTGTATATTTGGAGGGTCTTAAAGTGATTCTTTTATGATATATTCTACATTTTCCCTCTTCACATTATATAAACAATTTCCACTAAACTATTTAAAACTTGCTTTTTGTTGTCTGTATTCTAAAGTATACCTATATTGTCATTCCCTTTGACGATAGACTTGAACTTTATTATGAATTTTCACTACCATAAATAATGTTGTGATAAATATTTTTATGCTTTTTTGTCCATATTTCATATTTCCTCAGAAGTGGAATTACTGAAGGAAATGGTCTGAAAACGTATTTCAGACAGGATAACATACTGAATAAGAGCACTGGCTTTGGAGTTGGACTGTGTTGGATTCAACTACCACTTCTCCACACACTATTTGTAAAACCTTATGAATATTACTTCATCTCTTTGCATCTCAGTTTCATCATTTGTAAAACGAAGGTAGTACTTATTTCATAGGGCAGTTGTGAGGATGAAAAGAAATGTGTTTAAGACATATGCATTGTTCTTCATAAATCAACCACTAGGTGGAGGTGGAGGCTTATAATTCTAAAGCAGAAGGTTGTTTTAGAAATGCACTTGCTTTTACGGCATCCCAGAACCAAGCAATCATCAGTGGCTGGGGGTGAGAGGTGGGGAGGTGGAGCAATCAAAGAGTCTTCAAGGTGAGTTTCCTGCATGCTAACGGATGAAAATCAGTGATCCAATACACTCACATTTTTCTGATTTGTTGAGTGAGCAGGGAGAAGAGCCAGAAGTCAATTAACACACAGTAACAATGCAATTTACACAATATTACTGAATGCTACAATAGCTCTAATAAGTGATATACATAAATTATGGCATGTATCCTTAATTTTACAAAAAGCTATGAGATCGTTATTTTTACTCCTATTTTCAATCAGATTGAAGGAACTTGCCCTTGGTGACTTGTCACTTAGTCACTAAGTAGTCTGTATGCCACCTAGGCCATGGATTTATCCACTATGCTACACAGCCACCTCAAAGTCAAGACCTGGGAGGTTCATTCAAGGTGAACTTCCCTATCCCACTGCTTGCAGGCCAGGGAGTCCACACATGTCTGGTAATGAATGTGTACACATCTGTGTATTTATGACGGCAGAAGCATAATTATGGTTCATTTTGAATATCGAGTCATATAAGACCATTCAAAATGACAAGTCTTTCCCTGACTGGTTTTGCTCAGCGGTTAAAGCGTCAGCCTGCAGTCCAGAGACCTGGGTTCGGTTCCCGCTAAGGGCACGTACCTCGGTTGCAATTTGTCCCCGGCCCTGGTTGGGTCGTGCGGGTGGCAGCCACTTGATGTGTCCCTTTCACGTCGATGTTTCTCTCTCTCTCTCTCTTCCTCTCTCTCCTTCCCACTCTAGCTGAACAAAAAATGGAAAAATGTCCTCGGGTGAGGATAAAAAATAAAAAAAATGACAATAGTCTTAAAGTGAAAATTGAATACTTGACTTGGGTCTGTTGGTTTTTAAGAGCCTGGCACAAAGAAATATTACTCTTATTGTTAATTAATGTAATTTTTCTCTGGCCGATGCTGTGTGTGCTCACTTAATAGCTAAGAACTGTGCTAAAAGAAAACATTCTCACCAATAATACCCACTTACTCCTGCCCTTTAAAAATATTACCGATTTAATTCACATTTAAAAAGGACAAAAAGTACAAAAATAATGGACTTACAACAGATCAACAAATTAGTCACATTAACCTCAAAATGCCACACGAACTGTAAGAAAATGTTATAGAGGGCATGAAGGGCATGAATGATTATCAGAGGGCTTCTAGTGGGATTTGTTAAGGCTGTGGCAGTGACTGAGTTTTTATTACCATTTACTAGACAAGTGAACGAGCCAAATTGTTAATTATGCACTGAGTTCATTTTCTCAACATCGTAACAGTAAACCCAGGAGTTATTCTGAGGATAAAATAAGATGACACAGGTGAATCACGTGGCATGTTAAGAATACTAAGTATTGCCCAGCTGGTGTGGCTCAGTGGTTGAGTGTGTACCCATGTACCAAGAGGTCGGCAGTTCGATTCCTGGTCAGGGTACATGCCCGGGTTGTGGTCCCAATCCCCAGCGGGGGGCATTCAGGAGGCAGCCAATCAATGTTCTCTCTCATCAATGTTTCTATCTCTCTCCCTCTCCCTTCCTCTCTCTCTAACATCAATAAAAAAAACATTTTTTTAAAAGAATGCTCAGTATCAACATCATCATCATTAAATCAGATACCTCATAATTGGTTACTATGTTCATTCAGGCCCTACAGAAGCAGAATCCAAGATGAGATTAAAGGTACAAGAGAGCCCTGGCCGGTCTGGCTCAGCGGTTGGAGCGCCAGCCGGTGGATCAGAGAGTCCCGGGTTCGGTTCCCGCTAAGGGCACATACTTCGGTTGTAGTTTGTCCCCGGCCCGGTTGGGGTCATGTGGGTGGCAGCCACTTGATGTGTCTCTCTCTCACAGCGATGTTTCTCTCTCTCTTCCTCCCTCTCTCCCTCCTGCTCTATCTGAAGATAAATGCAAAATAAGTAAATACAATAAAAATCAAATTTAAAGGTACAAGAAATTTATTAAGAAAAACATCTATAAAGTGTAGAGCCCAAGCAGGCTGGGAGAGGCAAGAGACTGATTCAGGTCTGACCCATCTGGAGGAAGGGGGCAGGAAGGAAGGTTGGGTAGGTCATATATAATGGTGGTACAGTGCTAAGAAATTTTCAGTGAAGCTCATGGGAAGGCCTCAAGTCAGTCACCCATCACAGGAGCCCTGTGTCTCCCAGGAACTGGCCTGTCATAGTATCCTTGACACTCTCTCAGTCATCATTGGCTGGGAGCAGCCCATGGGTCTCATTCAAACACAGTGGTAGGTACCAGAACTATCGGTCATATACGCTCCCTGCAAAGAACTAAGAGGCTCATTTCATAGCTGCCTCGTCTATGTTGCCTCCTTAGTGTGTCCCTGCTAAACTGTTGGCTAACACAAGCAAGTGTATGAGTAAAACTAACAGGAAGGCTTTCATCTTTCTTCAATAATTCTCATTTAAGAGCCCCCAGCTACTCCGGATTTATATGGAACGAGTTCATTCTTAATAAAGCACCGACTGATGCCTAGCAAAGGGTGAATACTAAATTGTTATCAATATGATAGTCTCAAATCTAACTGAACTGCTGAGAGGTGGACCTACAGGATTATGTTTGAAGTGCCCTTCCAGATGGCATTTAATGAGTCAATGTGGTAACAAAAACTTGTTCTATTGGGTAGGCAGAAAAACAAAGGCAAAAATGGGGAGAGTAGAGGAGCCTCTCCATAAACAAAGTTAACACAAACTTTTTTCCAATAAATTATTTCACACAGGTATATGCTTAAGAATCTATTTAATTGTTCAAACTGTGCTAGAGGATACATATTTTGGAATACATATTTCATTAGATTCAGTTACAACATTGATTATTTCCAATGGCAATTTCTTACACTATCCTGATTATCCAAAAAAAAAAAAAGTTTTTTTATATTAAAAAAAAATCTTTATCTGCTACCAAATCTGTGTTATATCAAAACGTATTTTTCCAATTATGCATTTAATTATGTCACTTTAAGCTCACTGGTTTCATAAATATTAAAGATTCAATTTTAATTATTTCATAAATATTTCTAAAACATGTTTTCCAATCATTTTTGGAATGAAAACCTACAATCTACCAGTGTTTACATATCACTTTTCTCTACACAGTTTTACTTTTTTTAAAGAGAATAGCATGAACGTGCAAAAGCTATGGCTCTCCAAGGCAAAGCAAGAAAAAGAAAACAATTCTGTATCTTGATTTTTAACCTTAAGTTTCATTTTCTTTCCTTATCTATTTTTTTAAATGTTAGAGATTATATTCTTAATACATACCCCGCCCCTTCAGGCAAGGATGATAAGTAAAAGATTCAACACTTAGAATGTGCAGGTACAATACTTAGAGTTGAGAAGTAATAACCTAATAAAAATAACAATTTACTATTTCAATTACTTGGGGAAGGGGTAGTTTTACATTATCCAAAAATTGTGGTTTCAAATTCACTGGCCATAAATATATTAACTTTCTGGATCAAAATGGAGAGCATTTCAAGATAAGCAGCTGTGCGGTCAGCAATGACTCAAATTAGTCAGGATAGCAGGACTCCGGGGTCAAGGCCGTTTCCACCATCACGGTCTTACCCCCATAGGTAAACGGGACCTTGTTTGTATAGCACTTGTTTCTGTCATAAGCGTAGCAGGTCTCATTGTCTTCATCACACATATTGCTCTGGGTGGCAGTAACCACTTGATTTCCCAGTTCCACTTCTGTAGACTCACATTTTTTACAGCTGAAAAACAAATTTATGCATTAGATAATCCCATCAAATGTTGTAGCCAAAATCAATTAGTTCTTGCAGCTCGGCCCTGACAACTGACAAAGGGTCAGTCTTGCCCTGGCCAGTTTGGCTCAGCGGTTAGAGTGTCGGCCTGCGGTCCGGAGAGACCCGGGTTCGGTTCCCGCTAAGGGCGCGTACTTCGGTTGCAGTTTGTCCCCGGCCCTGGTTGGTCGTGCGGGTGGCAGCCACTCTATGTGTCCCTTCACGTCGATGTTTCTCTCTCTCTCTCCCTTCCTCTCTCTCCCTCCCACTCTATCTGTACAAAAAATGGAAAAATATCCTCGGGAGAGGATAAAAAAAAAAAAAAAAGGGTCAGTCTTTTTGGAACTCAGCTGCTCAACAACACAGAACAGTTTATGGGATCTTTTCAATCTTTAATATAAAAATTAGTTGAAAGTAAGCAATATGATTAATAATATGATATTACTGTTTTGCCTACACCATACAGGAACCTCTACTCTGGTAGATTCATTACCAATTGTGTATTAGGATTAAACAAGTTATTTATAGTGACAAAGAAGGAAGAATTTGAAAAAATAAATAAATTGTTCAATATTGAATTCTGTAGTTTCCAAAGATACACCTGCATGTCAATATGTCTGAAATCCAATTACTGAGCTACTGAGATAAACTGGCCCTTCCTGTACTAATGGCAAATATGTCTTCTTTAGAATGAACTTAAAGCTAACTTTTATCTATGATAGCGTTTTATGAATGTATGATACCTAATAATTAACATAGGAATTAATGTATTCAAAAGTTCAAATTATATTGGTAAATGTTTATACCTCCAACATATTTTCTAAACATTCTTAATAACAAGTTAAGTTTTAAAAGTTATTAACTTGTGTACATATACTAGTATGAAGGAAAATCTCTTACAGGTCGGACAAATGGTACACAAATTTGGTTCTCCTTGGTGAGGTGGGATCAGAGATATTCTCCCTGTTGTTCACAGGAACACTAAAGAAAAAGAAAAAAAAACAAGTCAAAATAATGAAATTAACAGATCTTGCTAGTTTTTGGTGCTAGGTAATTAGGACATTTAGTTCATTTAGCACTCTAACAGAATCTATCGTGATACCAATACTCAGATTTCTCATTCAAAATAAATCTCCCAACTCCTCTGTCAATGATTTTTGCCTACTTGGCAAATCCCTGTTTCCCTTTAGCAGTCAGCTCAAGTTCTACCGTCTCCATGATGATTACTTAGATCCTATCTATACCCCTCAAAAATTCCTTCCTCTGTATACTCATTAAAGCTCATATATCTTTACTATAACAAATGCCAGTTCATAGTTGCTTGTCTACAGAATAATTGCTTCCCTAGACTATCTAAGTTCCTCGAGGCAAAAACATTCATGTATTCCCAGCGCCTGGCTGGATGTGCGGCATGAGGAATATGTTCCGTATTTGTGGAAGGGATGGACAGATATTATTATCCACATTTTTGAGATGCATAAATTATAAATCAGAGAGGTTAGCAACCTACCGAAGATCACACAACTACTAAAGTAGTAAAGCTATAGCTGGAATCCAAACTTCTTGATTTGGTGATTTCCATAAAAAATTAGGTAATACTTATCAACTAATTCAAGAGATTTTATTAACTTTTACATGTTTTCATCTGTGCTATCATTCCTCTACCAAAAAATATAAAATTAAATTAAAAATTTGTGTTTCCTAACTCAGTGTTTAGCAATAATGTCCACATTAATATCCTAGATACCATCTCTAAGTCCTCCCTTTCTATCATGACCTATATTTAATCCATCTCACAGTTCAATTGACTCTAATTCTCTGCATTTGTGAAATCCTTCTACTTGGTTCAGGACATCACCATTTTCTCTCCTAGCAATACCCTCCTTGGGTCCTGGACCCTCCCATGCACTAGCTACATTATTGCCAAAATGGCCTTTCTAAAGCAGGAACCTAACTTCCTTCTCTGCTTAAAACCTACAGTGTCTCCCTACAAATAACAGAGTATCTTTAACACATGCCTGTCACTGCCCAGCCTCATCTCTCACCATGCCACCCTCTTTACATGACATGCCAGCTATAAGAAACAGCTTACAACTCCACAAATTTACTGTGCTTTTCTCATCTCCAAGTCTTAACAATAACAAAAACAGTAACAGTTCTAACATTTGCTAAGTGCATACAGTGTGCCTGGTACTATGCTAACCATGCTACATGATGATGTCACAGAATCTTCACAGCAACCCTGTTTTCTTTTCTGAGAAATGCTCTTTCTCGCCTTCAGCCCTATCATTCCCCACACATTTAATTTACCCAGTTAACGCCCATTCGGCCAGCTAACAGCCGACATCCACTTCCACCACTTACTCCAACTTGCTACCTCCACTACCACTATCCACCCACCCCACCCCCAACTGGACTGAGTGCCCTCAAATCCTATGCCTACTCCTGTCATCATGGCATTTACAATACTGTATTGTAAAGGCTTTTTAGCTGTTTTAGGTTCCTTTCTCAACTGTAAATTCTCCAGTGGTCCCCAGCTCCAATCCTCAGTGGCATTCAGTAGCATTCAATAAATGTTTGTCAAACAAATGAATCTATTCTTTATTAAATTGAAAAGGCTCTGGTAATATAAGAAAAGGCTTTAAATACTGATAGAGATAAGGGGATAAACATGAATGTCTACTTTGGGCCAAACACTGTTCTAGATGCTTTTACACATTACCACATTTAATTCTCACAACCCTATAAAGTATATGTGTGCACTATATACATATATATTTTCCCCTTTTTATAGTTTAGGAAACAGACTCAAATTAGTTGAGTAACTTGCCCAAAGTCATATCATTAGTAGGTGACAGAGTTGGGAATAATGCCATAATGACATGGCAATAACAACAGAACTTTCAGAAATGAGATCAGGCAAAGTGAATAAAGTAACTGAATTATCTGAATTCAGAAAATAATGTAATACCATGAAAAGAATGGTCATAGAAAAAGAAGAAGAATTAGACCATCAGAGTGCCATTTAAAAATCTGAAGATGTCAACATAAGATAGACACTCTTCTTCAACACGGCTTAGGTGCCAACGTCATGAATGCTATCCATCCCAACTGTTCCATCTCTAACAGGGTGCTGAGTGGTACAGAGTCTGAATGGTCAGAGAACACCTGCTAGAGGAAGTGATATCTAAACTAAGACCTGCAGGTTGAGGAGAACTTAACCAGGCTAAGAGGGGTGGGAGAAAGGGTTCTTCAAGCAGAGGAACAACTTACACACAAAATGGAAGAGAAAGGGAGCACTGTGAGTGGGGAAAACGAGGGCACTACAATATTGCTGGGTTTTCAAACACCGGGTGACAAGAAGTGTCAGTGGAAGAGCTTGAGAGTTATGCTCAGTGTTGTAGGTTAGGCTGATGCATTTGTACTTTATCATAGTAACAATGTTGGGGAAACCAGTAAAGGTATTTTAAGAAATATAGAGATATAATGATAACTAGAATGTAGGTTAGGTGGATAAATAACAGCAAATATTTTTTTAAAATATGCCAGGAACTATATACATTCTCGAAAACGAATAGATCTCAGTTTATCTTTACAATAGCCCTATGAGATATATATTATTTTCCCCTATTTAAAAATGAGCAAGTTGAAGTTTTAGAGTAGATAAGTAATTTCCATACAAAAGCACACAGCAATTAAGTGACCCAGCCAGTATCTGAAACAAAATTTTAAACACATTATGCTTCTTCCATTGGTTAGATGGCATTAAATGCTACATTGTTTCAATAAGAGGTACCCAACTAGGGGGACACTATTCAAGGCAGAAGTGTTGACAAGGAAGACTTTACTGATTGGATCCAATAGGAATCTTATTTCTTTCTTTTTTTTCTTTATTGATTTAGAGAGAGAGGAAAGGAAAGAGAGAGAGAAACATCAATGAGAGAGAACATTGAATGGCTGACTCCTGCATGCCCCACACTGGGGATTGGGCCCATAACCTGGGCATGTGCCCTGACCAGGCATCAAACCAGCTACCTCTTGGTATATGGGTCGATGCTCAACCAGTAAGCTACACCGGCCGGGCATGGAATCTCATTTCTTAATATTATTAGCATTTTGGTGATTAAACACCAAGACTCATAACTTATAACTTGGACTATGTGTGAAATGAAATGAGTATCTGAAGTCCAATCTACAAGTGAAGACTAAATCAAATTAGTCAGTTTGATTAGTCTACCTTAGCTTTATGCAGACAGTTAAGTACTATGTAAAATATGCTGTAGTCCAGACATGGTACAAAATAGTTTTTAGTGTTATTGCAAGTTTCAGTTTGAATTGATCAAAAGTAACTAAAAGTTCTGATTCAAACTGAAATAACTCCATATGAACTGGGCACGTTGACGAGCAGATCTGAACCTTCCGTTATAATCATTTGATCTAGCTGACTGGTTTTAAATTGTGTGGAAAGCTTGTTTCTGCTCCCAAATTGTGCATAATTGGCTCAAGCCCATTAACCAGATTCAACCTCATGTCAGGTGCTACACGTCAAAAAAGAGGAGCAAAGATATTACATTCAAACAATGGCTGAAATGACAGAGGATCGCTGCTTGCAACATGAAGAAATGAAATATAAAATACCACATACATAATTCTGATGTTTCTCTCCACAATGTCTTGGCTAGGATCTTCGGGAGAAGGGATGACCCTGGAGGTAATGCGGGCACACTGACATTTGTTGTTAGCAAGAACAGTCCCTTCATCTTTGTCTTGGGCTGGAAAGATACACAACATATTAAGAAGAAATGGGAATGAAAATCTACTTATCTATCAACTTTGTAGTGAGTTCATCTTTTTTCCTGCAGAAAAATTCAGTTTTATGGTTGATTAATTTCTCCATTTGTTCTCCCTCCTAATCTAAAACAGCTGAGTAGAATCTCACAGTATAGAGAAGGAAGTCCAAAAGTACTCCAAAAGGAATTTTCTTTTTCCCTTGGACCAGTCTAGGGGCACCTAAGCTAAAAGAATTCTGGTTTTAATCCAATGCTTTTCATGGAGGCACAGCTCTCTGAATGAGTGCCAGATGCCACAATAAGAGAGAAAACAAAAATCCAGACTGGATTTCTCTCAGTCCAAAGCAATCCATTCAAAAGTGAACACAAAAATAGCATTAGTCTTTGTCAGCCTAGGGCGAGGTGTCACAGCCGTCCTGAACTCCCCTTCATCTTCACAGTCTGCTCACATTAGAGCTAAGTAAGCACAGGTACACGTTCCCCCCAAATAACCTTATTTTGTAAGATTTTTAAATATTCTCCACTACAATCTTCCTCAACTTAATTATATTCTTCTTTTTCATAATAACAATCAGGTTATTATGACATAATGATTCAATCAAATAAAATAATAGGTACTGTATTAATATTTCTTATAAGAATTATTTTAAAAGTTATAATATATAACGTTTAGACATAAAGTGTAATAGCTGTATTTAATAGTGCTGACTAAATAATAATAATGTTAAATATCTTTTTTAGTCCTATAATCTTAGCTAAGTAACCTTAAAAATTTCCTCCCACCAAGCCGCAACTGAAAACAAAACAAAACAAAACATAAATTTAGCACATAAATTCAAGTTATAAAGGTTAAACGACTAGAGTAGAAATCACTGTTACTGGAAGTCTAATTATTACAGAAATGACCTCAGAGCAGAGAAGACCTAATTACAGTACTTCAGTCTTAATGATAATAATCATTACAAAAGCATTTTAAGATCATTGTTATTGTACTTATAATTGTTTGAAGTAGTTTATAATGCATTATGTCATTATTCATAACTCCTTAATAAATCTTATGATAAAAGTCTGTATGGCATTGGAAAAGAAACATTATGAAGTCAATCCAAGATCATCTCCCCTTAAGGTTTTGAAGAGTGAGATGATATAAATGGTGTCCTCTTCCCTACTAGCTGTATTCATAAACTCTTAAATGTTTTTCTCAATAAAATACAAATGAGCCAGCAATGCCTGATAAAAAAATAAAAAAATAAAAAAAACTGAATCAAGTATGTGAGTTGGCAATTAAGTCTTAAATAGAAAATGTCTATATTTTATTTATAGCATCTGGTTTATTTTCTTACCTGAAATAGAGGGAAAAACTAACATTACTGTTGTCATATAAAATAATTAGTCAGTCTAATATATCTATAAGAAAATGTACAAATACTTCAATTCACCAAGACTTGCAAGTTTCTAACATTCTCTCTCACTGAGAGGCAGCATTTTTCCTCATAAACCTATTATTAAAGACTGTGCCTTATTTTATTCGAAGAGCATCTGAGACATAGTAGGTGCTCAATAAATATTTGTTAAATTTATTTAAATTCAGTTCAAACAAATAAGAAAATAGACTTAATAACACATACTATATATGAACATAATTAGTTTACTAAGAGGCAATTCTCTCATATAGGAAAAATAGGACAGTAGTTAGGAGTGCGGGTTATAGAGTCGGAGGGCCTGAGTTCTGCCTACCACATACTTGCTGTGTGACCTTAGGCAAGATATTGGCCTCTCTAAATCTCAGTGGGCTCAACTATATGTCAGAAATTTTAATAGGATCTATTCTCAATTGGTTGTTGGGAGAATTAAATAGAATAGTATATGTAAAGTAGTTAGCATAATGCCTAGAACATAACATGCACTCAATAAATGACAGCTCATATATGTATATATATGTGTGTGTGTGTATATTTATACATATACTATACACATTTCACTACTATCTTTTTATTATAAATATAATTAGAAATTCATTATTCTTAATGCTAAGTTAGTATAAAATATATTTTAGATGATTATTAATTATATCATACTCAGTCTTGAAATAAGAATAATTAGCTCTATAAGTGTTAGAAACAATCCAGCTAAATTATATCACACTAATTCACATGCCCTTCTAGATGAAATTATTAAAAACTCTACTTCTATATTCAGAATGTATTCCATTTTCTACAGTACTTTGAAGGGTTAATAAACAAAATACCCAAAGTTCAGCCATCAATTTATAGGCCCTGTAGAACATTAAACATTGTTAAAGGGTTATAATAAATCTGTAGACTCAGATCCAGAAAAGTTTTTAGAACTAACACTAGTCTACCTGGGGAAAACAATCCCACTGCATTCTATGTTGTATTTACAGTAATTATTACTTCATTTTTCCTGAATACTATGTTAAGACACTCAAGGAGAGAACTACTAATTTTCAAGATTCAATAAGGATATTCATATAAGTACAACTATCAATACTTATCCAATACTTATTCTCTAGGTTATAGTAGGCAAACAAATAAGAGAAAAGAAAAAGAATTATAATGAATCTTGTCTGCATAAAGATCACTGCCCATATAAAGATTAAAGCATGTTAGAAAAAAGTAGCCAGCTAGCTGGTCAACCAAAACACAAATGTTTAAATCTGAAGAACAGATCTATGTTATATTTTCCCTTTTATCTGGGTTTATTTTCAAAATACCACATACCTGTCACAAGAAAAGCCTTAACAAAAATGGCCAGGACTCCCCAGAAAAGCAAATGCTTCTTCATCTTGCCTTCAAGTCTTTTGAAAACTGGAGCTAAAAAAAGTCAGGGTTAAGGTGTGTGATCTATGAGTGTGCAAATGATGGTGCTTCTGCTTTCTTAAAATAACGCCCCAGGCAGCTTACAAACTAAAACCAATCACAACTGCCGTTGAAGTCTGAAATTTTAATGCTGCACTGGAAAGAAATGTATGGCTCAGGTTTACCTATTTTCTTACAAAGTATCCCCCAAAAGCCATGCTTTGATGCAATCACTTTGAACTGATGTACTTTATTTACATTTACTCTATATAATTAATGCAGAAAACTAATAATTAAGACAGGAGTCCATTAAGAATGTTAAAATAAAGGTTTTCAACTTGATTCCCTAGATAATAAAGATCTCAAATATATATGACATTTGTTTTGCTTGGAACAATAATTGAAGGAAGATAAGTGAATTGAAGCTCCTTAAATTCCCAATTGTATCTTAAGTCAACTTTTTCTTCAAGTCCTTTTTTTTATTAATTAATTTTTGTTATAGATGTTTCTCCTTTTCCCCCCACTGATTCCCCCCTCCCCCTCCCTTCCTGCCCTGTCCCCAGCTTTGTTGTCCATATTCATTGTTCATGCATACATACATATAAGTTCTGTGGTTTATCTCTTTCCCCCACCCCCTCTTCTGGGGATTGTCAGTCTGCACCCCACTTCCACGTCTCTGGGACTACCCCATTCCTCAGACTGTTATGTTCATTATATTCCACAAATAAGTGAGACCATGATACTTGTCTTTCTCTGTTTGGCTTGTTTCACTTAGGATGATACTTTCCAGGTCCCTCCATGTCGTCTCAAAGGATAAGAGATCTTTCTTTCTTACAGCTGCATAGTACTCCATTGTGTAGATGTACCACTGCTTTTTTATCCATTCATCTACTGATAGACACTTGGGTTGTTTCCAGATCTTAGCTATTGTAAATAGTGCTGCTACAAACATGGGAGTACATATATTCTTTCTGATTGGTGATTCAGGCTTCTTAGGGTATATTCCTAGAAGTGGGATCACTGGGTCAAATGGAAGTTCAATTTTTAATTTTTTTAGGTAACACCATATTCTTTTCCATAGTGGCTGCACCAGTCTGCATTCCCACCAGCAGTGCACTAGAGTCCCCTTTTCTCCACACCCTCGCCAACACTTGTTGTTTGATGATTTGTTGATGGCGGCCATTCTGACAGGTGTGAGGTGATACCTCATTGTTGTTTTAATTTGCATCTCTCTGATGATTAGTGATGATGAGCATTTCTTCATATGTCTCTTAGCCATTTGTATGTCCTGTTTGGAGAGGTGTCTATTTAGTTCCTCTGCCCATTTTCAATTGGGTTCTTTGTCTTCCTTTTGTTGAGTTGTATGAGCATTCTATATATACTGAAAATTAACTTCTTCTAGTTCTTAATTAATCAAGCTACCAGATTTGAGTATACATATTACATGTCACATATATAACATATACATATTCTGATCACTTTCAATTATTTTATAAGCTCAAACATGGAATTGGAATTAGAAACAAGTGGATACTAAATGTATCAGTGGCCACATTTTAATTTGATAGTATTAAGTCAGACCTTGTGTTTGCTCATCTAGTAATACCGTCCAGAATTGTAAACCCATGAAATGATTTTCATTTGTGATAACTCGACAGAAAATGAAATCACTATAGTATTTCTTGTAAATGTTTTTCATTAATTAGTGAGAGAGAAAAAAAACCAGAGCCCTGGCCAGTTTGGCTCAGCAGTTAGAGCATCGGCCTGAGGTCCAGAGAGACCTGGGTTCAGTTCCCACTAAGGGCATGTTTGTCCCCGGTCCTGGTTGGTCGTGCGGGTGGCAGCCACTTGATGTGTCCCTTTCACGTCGATATTTCTCTCTCTCTCTCTCTCTCCCTCCCACTCTACCTGAACAAAATAAATAAATAAATAAAGGGTTAATACCCAAAATTTATTTTAAAAAAACAGAAAACAAAAATCTAAGCTTTTGGAAAGAGCATCTGCCTATCCCATCCCCCACCACCCCAACATGTTAGAATTTTCTGTCTCTTAAGTAGCCTTGTTCCAAGAACATGGTGGTTACATTTACATGCAACATCAAAACCATGTTACTTTTGGTTCTTAGTTCTCTAATTTTTTAAGGGTGAACTAGAATTTTGAGAGGGACTAAAATTCTTCAGGATCATAAGTAGGCAAGCAGATTTCATAGCTGGCAGTAGAAAACAGCAGCATGAAAGCTGTAACAACGTCTAGCACAACATTGCTCTCTCTCAGTCAATATGTATTGAAAGTCTAGCAAGAACAAAGTGTCAGGCTCTAGAACACACAAGATTACTATACTGTTAAACTTTACTTTCATTTTAATTTCCACTATCATAGCATTTAGAAACTATTTGGGGGTTAAGAAAATATACTAGATTCATATGAATAATTTTATCTAGTAGAAAAAGAAACACATCTGAAAGCACATTTTACTTATGTGGTCAGGCTGTCAAAACAAGTATCAACCACTTAAGAGCTTCTCATCTCTAAGTGCAGTTTTTAAATAACTGATTTATTCCATCAATCTAAAAAAAGAATAATTAGAAGTTAGCTCGATACTCTTTTTTAAATTATTATTTCCTTGAAAATAAACTCAGGACTAGACTGCCTGCCCAAAACAATTGGATAAATTCCTGGGGACAAATTAAAGCTTCCCCAAAAGTTTACTTATTTATTTTATAAAAGCAAAGATTATTGAATTCATAAATACTAAACTAAGGGAAAGCTCTATATTTTGTATTTATATTCTTTCAGTCCTCTAGTTTTATACTGTTAGCCTTGCATCTAAAATGTAATTTTAATAAAGATAAGGTATGGAGATCCAAGTGGCACTTTTGCCCTCAGAAGAGTTGCCTAGGCTTGCAGTACAGTATCAGGACCAATGTTTTGCCAAGTGTATTCCAGGGATCATCTTCCCTAGAATCACTTGAACTACTAGTCAAAATATGAATTTTCTGGCTACACCCAATCAGAATTTCTGGAGCTGTAACCTTGAAATATGTATTATTAAAAAAGACTTCTAATTGATTTTTATATACATTAAATTTGAAAATTGGTATACTAGAAGCCTAGGGAGGGGGGAATAACTAATATCATTAACTATAGGAGAGCGAGAAGCTTATAAAGGTAATTTTTTTTTAACAAATTTATTTTTATAATTCTGTGATATAGGCAAATTGTTTCATCTTTTTAGCATTAACCAAATATATCTATATATTGGCTGTTATATAGTTATATAGATATATTAAAACCAAATATATCTTTATATCGGCTATTTATATAAATGAGACCCCAGTTTATTTTTAAGACATTTCATCTTCAAATTTTGTTCTTCCCACTAAAAACTGTAAAATGTGAATAGAATTCTTTCTAAACAAGTGAGCTAAATAATTAGGAGCTTAGCTACATGTTCAAAAATTTTCACCAAATTGGTTTATTTTTCTGCATTCATACAAAAGATTCTTACAGTGAATAGTAGAATCCTTTGTAAACGAGCTAAATAATTAGGAGCTTAGCTACATGTTCAAAAATTTTCACCAAATTGGTTTATTTTTCTGCGTTCTTACAAAAGATTCTCACAGTGAGAGGTTCAATAATAGACTCATTTGGATGAAATGGATCTTAAGATAATGTAGTCTCACCTTTTTTACTTCCACTCAAGTTTTGTTTCAATTTCCTATACAGCAGACAGTCTGAGCAGCATTTGTTTAAAAACCACCTGAAATAGGTCAACGCTTCACTTCCTCTGACACAGCTTATTATATTTGAGATACTCAAATCATGACGAAGACTTTATTCTCTTGGGACATAGAGAATACTGCACTTATTCTCCTTTTCTCATTGGCGACTCTTCAGTCTCTTGCTGAATTTTCCTCAATCTTCAGCCTTCTCTTTTCTCTTAACCTCTCCCTAATTAATTTTAGCTGATCCCACTGCTTTGAACATCGGACATGCTATGACTTCAAATGGATAACTCTAGACTCCACCTTGCCTGTTGAGCTCCAAACTCCTATATCCAATTTTCTGTTTGATTATCTTCACTTGGCTGCCTAACAGGTATCTAATATGGAGAGAGCAGAACAGTACACTTGATGACCAAGCCACCCTCACTACCATTCCAATTTCTTTCTGTCTTTACTCTTCCTCAATCAATGGCACCTACATCTACCTGGTTGCTCAAGCCAAAACCCTCTTCTTTGATTCTTTTTCTTCTCCCCACATTCAATTTACCATCATGTCCTGTTGGTTTAATTTTTAAAATATATCCCAAACTTACCTGATTCTCTCCATTTTCATTGTCACCCTAGTCCAAGCCTCTATCCTCTTTTTCATACTGCAATAGCCTCAGTAATAAAAAGTGATTTTCCTTTGCCCCAGCACTGGTAATTAGGACTTTCTAAATTCTAAAGAGTCAGACACTTCCTCAAGACTTAACAAGAGGCAATAGAATTCAACTTACTACCATCAACCACCACCTCACCTCTCCCAAGCTCCCTCCTCCAGTCTTTGGAGGATTTTGGAGAAAAAAAGGAGAATGCCATTATGGAAGCAGTTGACCTTGTGGAAATAGTAGTGTCTGTGGTAAGAGAAGTTCCCATCTTTACTCTTGGGAGAGGGGAGGACAGGGTGCTCTTCTCTACTCAAAGTCAAGTGAGATTCAAGAAAATAACTCAAAAGAGATCAAGGACCTTGCAGAAAGGGGAAATTGAGAAGCAATGTAGCATAATAGTTAAGGGAAGGATTCTGAGCCTGGTTTATCTCCCAATCCACCATTTACTAGCTATGTGACACTGAGCAAGCCTTGGACAAATTAACCTCTATGTTTCCATTTCTCTATCTGTAAAATGGGGATAATAACAATACATATTTCATAAAGTTGTCATGAGGCTTAACATGTATTACTGCATATAAAGAAGTTAGAGCAGATCCTGGCATATGGTAAATACTATATAAGTACTATAAGTACTTATATA